GCTGTGGGGGAAGATCCAGTTGTCTTGGTGTTCAATCTGATTCACTCTGGCGCAATCCTGAATGCTTCAATTCTGTCAAACAAGGTGTTGTTGTTTGGCCAGACCCGTGGTTCGTCTGTCGTGCTGAAATTCTTTTTTGGTAGACTTGGTAGCTTCGAGTATTACTTTCGCTGAAGCCCGAAGGTGATGAGAATGGTCTAACCATCTCTGAGTTCTTAAGCAAAGTCAAATCAGATTTCAAATTATGCAAATTCAATTTTTCTCCATTGTCAAGACTTCGATCGCAAGTGTGAGATACTTTGAGTTGTCTGTTGTACTTGGAAAAGTCTGATCCTTTTCATCATTTTCAGTTGTCTGTTGTACTTGGTCTGAGGATTCTTGTTGCTGGATATATCAGTTTGACTTAGATATTGCTGAAATGTATAAAGTCTTCTCAATGAAAATGACTCTGATCCTATTCATCACATAATCCTTTGTAGACGATGAAGCTTTACATACAGTAGTTAAAATGTGTCTAACTACTTCACAACTTTCATGTGATTTCAATGCAAGAGGCACAAATTTAACATTACCTCAAAAAAGTAATAAATACCACTTGCGTTATAAGCCCATTGTTATTAGCCACTGTTATATCATATGCCACATCCCACATATATCCGTTACACTTCCAGACCGTGTCCAAAAATCTAAGGGTAAATGAGGGGTATCATTGCAATAAAAAGAACTTAAATGGAAAGAATGTGAAATTCTTGAAACAACGAGGAAGGAAGTGTAAAATAATAAAAAACCCCAAACATAACAGAAAATGGAAATACCAAACCGTCAAAGTTTATCAAAAACTCTCCCGCCAAGAAAGTAGTTAAAAACCTCTGTCTCTTCATCCCAAAAGACTCCCAATTTCCTTAGCTCTCTCTCTCTGTGTTACTTTACCCCTCAAGAAACACAAACTCTTTCTCTTTCTCTCTCTGTTCACCACCATGTTTGAAATTACCCTGAACCCATGTGCTCTTTTTCTAAGGCGGGCAGTGATACCCTTCATTCAGATGGGCACCTACCATGGCGAGCTCTACATTGCACCGAACGTTGTCGAATTGAGAGCAGCCTCAGGTAGCGTTGTCTTATTCCTGCAGATGAAACCTTGGATGTTCCAGACCTTTTCCTGCACTGAGAACCTCTGCCTTGGCTTCGACATCCGTCACTTGTACCGCTATCTCCTTCTCCTTCAAGCCAGGAATGATGCTTTTCTCCGTCTCACTGGCGATGCCAGTGGTCACATTGACTTTGTGCTCCTCGATATCAGTCAGTATATACCATCTTAGATCTTAATTTCTTATTTCAAGATTTTAAGTTAATTTCTTTTTCAAGTTAAGTTAATATCTGAATCACTGATTTGTGTTCCCTAGTTAACTTTGTCATTTGGTTCCAAAGATTAATCTTGTTTCTGGGTTTAGCAGTTTCTTGAGGATTTTTTGCCAGTCTGTCTGCATCATTGGTTTTATCTGAATTGTTTAAACTTGACGAATTTCTTGAGGATTTCTAAAATCTCCTCCTTATCTAATTTTCCTCGTCTCTTTTTTGTTTACAATTTCAATAATGCTAGGAACTCGGCGAACTTTTCAACTTCACATTCCATTGCTTTCAAGGTCAAGTGCGATGACGACTGTACCTCAGCTCCAATATCAATATCAAGTAAGGGTGGGGATACCTGTGCAGCAGTTTAGGGTTATTATCTTGACGCTGTCCCGGTTCGGGGTCACAGGTATAACACGTAATTGCTTGCAGAAATTAGATCTTAGTCAAATGCATTGCTGATTTAAATTACTGATATAGATTCAAGGCATGCCTTCTTTTTTTTCCTTAATTCTGATAAGAAAATGTTGATCATTTTTTAGAATTTATCATTCCAGTGTTTGACACAGAATTACTGATTTAAATTCGGGGTATACCTTTTTTATTATTTCTTAATTCAGGTAAGAATATGTTGATCATTTTTAAGAATTCATTTTTACAATGTCATGCTTCACAATCCTTTGTCATTTACTGTGACTTTGAATATAATCTCTAGTGAGTTCACATTTCGATGATCTTTTTTTGTGCTGTATGCATGCTGATAAGCATTCACAAGGTTCACAGGATTTTATGGCATTCCCTAACTCTTCATATGTATAATCTTGTATATGTTGCTCACTAGACTCCTACGTGCCATTGCAGTTTCTGCAACCGTAACAGATACTCAAGTTCAGTTCTTTGTAGGAAATGGAAATGGGGGGATGTTCACATTTCCTATTCTCAAGAAGGTACCTTATCACAGCATGCCACAATTTTCTGAAAACACAGTATACATTAAGCAAATTCTGATTCTTGTTTCCATCGGAAACATGAAATAAGCATTTTCCCATAATATGAAACTGTCCTTCGATTTCATACACTACAACATGATAATCACAAGAAGTTCAATTTCCTCAGAGCATAAATGATCAATATTTCCTTGTTTTATTTTGTTGTGTAGCCGGAGCAGTGTATTATTGAGGGTGATGTGGGGGCAAATCCAGTTTCCTTGGTGCTCGATCTCCGTCACACTAGTACAATCCTGAATGCTTCAGTCATGTCAAAGACGGTGTGGTTGTTTTGCCAGTCCCATGGTTCATCTGTCATGCTGAATTGCCCTTTTGGTAGACTTGGTAACATCTATTATTACTTTCCTGAAGCCTGAAGCCTGAATGTGATGAGAATGGTCTAACTCAAATAAGATTTTAATGCGGTTTGATCACAAGTTTGAGGTACTTTGAGTTGTGTGTTGTAAACAATAATCCTTCGTAAACAATGCAGCTTTTCATCATAATCCTTTGTAAACAATGCAGCTTTTCATCATTTTGAGTTGTCTGTTGTTCTTGGTTTGACATGAATATTGAATTGCAGGGAAAGTCTGAGCCTATAATTCATCACAACTGTCTGTAAACAATTATCTGTCTGCTTTTTTCTCTAACTTTTAGTTCTTTGCAAGTTTCATATGATTTCAATTGTTGACAAAAATCATGCTAAACAATAACACTTACCATGTTCTGTGGTGGTTACATAAGCCATCGTTGTTCCGAAACATAACAGTGCTAGAAGAAAAGAGGATTTGAAGAACTCAGAACTTCTGGGTTTTGGATTTTAAGAACAACTTAATTGTTGGATTAATTAAGAAATCACCCAAATTTTGACATCAGCAACTCGTGTGAAACAAGCATCAGAATTTCTAACATAAAAACTTGTGGGGTGGCATATCGCAATTAAAAGAACTTCAGTGCCGTGCATCTGAAGTTCTTAAAACTACAGGGGCGAAAGTGTAATATGAACAGAAACAAATAGAATGCGATTGCGCCCCGCCTAACTCTGTATACACCACCAGTCAGCTTTTTTTTGTCCAAACACCAGTCAGTCACCTCAATTGGCTGTGAGAAGCTAACGCACCCAATTTTTGAAATCCCAGACATAACAGAAAATGGAAATACCAAACCGTCCAGGTTTATCACAAAATTTCCCGCCAAGAAAGTAGTTAAAAACCTCTTCACCAAGTCACAACAATGCCTTAAGCTCATCCAAAAAGAATCTCAATTTCCTTAGCTCTCTCTCTCTCTCTCTCTCTCTCTCTCTCTCTCTCTCTCTGTTCACCACCATGTTTCAATTTACCCTGGACCCATGTGCTCTTCTTCTAAGGCAGGCAGTGACACCCTTCATTCAGGCGGAAGCCTACAATGGCAAGATCTACGTCTCACCGACCGTCGTCACATTGATAGCAGAAGCCTCAGGTAGCGTCGTCTTAGTCCTGCGGATGAAACCCTGCACGTTCAACTCCTTTACCTGCACCAAGAACCTCTCCCTTGGCTTAGACCTCCGTATCTTGTACCACAATCTCCTTCGAGCCAAGACTCATGCATTTCTCCGTCTCTCTGGCGATGAAACCAGTCGTCACATTGATTTTGGGCTCCTCGATACCAGTCAGTATATACCATCTTAGTTTCTTTAAGTTTTTAATTGCCCTCTAATTTCTTATTTCAAGATTTTGAGATTTGGGTGGGAATTTGTTCTTTTTCCAGTTACGATATTTCTAGTTGGTTTTTGGGGCTCCGTTTAAAGTTCATTTGGTTAAATTAATCGTGTTGCAGGGCACTGTCTGGATCATTGCTTTGTGTTTCCTAGTATTGTTTTGTTTAAATTTGATGAACTGTCTGCCTTTTCGTGTTCTAATAGCTAGAACAGTAAATTAGATGAACTGTTCCTTTTCAAGTTTATGCTCCAAAACTTAATCTTGTTTCTGGGTATATCAGTTTCTTGAGGATTTTTGTCCTGATCATTGGTTTTGTCTGAATCGTTTAAACTTGACGAATTTTCCTGGTCTCTTTTTGTTTACAATTTCAATAATGCTAGGAACCCTGCAAGGCTATCGAACTCACATTCCATTGCTTTCAAGGTCAAATGAGATGTTGCCTGTACCTCATCTCCAATATCAATTTCAAGTAAGAGTGGCAATACCTGCGGAGCAGTTTAGGGTTATTATCATGAAGCTATCCCAGTTTGAGGTCGCAGGTATAATGTGTAATTGCTTGCAGAGAGTAGATCTTAGTCAAATGCATTGCTGATTTAGATTCAGGACATGCCCTTGTTTTTTATTTCTTAATTCTGATAAGAATATGTTGATCATTTTCTTAGAATTTAGCATTTCAGTGCTTGACAATGTCATGCTTCACAATCCTTTTTCATTTACTGTAACTTTGCATATAATCTCTGGTGAGTTCATATGTTGATGATCTTTGTTTGTTCTGTATGCATGCTGAACATTCACAAGGTTCACAGGATTTTATGGTATTTCCCAACTGTTCATATACATAATCTTGTATATGTTGCTCACAAGAGTCCTACGTGCCATTGCAGTTTCTGCAAGCGTAACAGATACTCAAGTTAGGTTCTTAAATGGAAATGGGAAGATTATCCCATATCCTATTCTCAAGAAGGTATTTTTCCAACCTTATGTGTGATTCGTAGTTCAGAACAACTTTCTGAAAACATCCATTCTTCTTGCCATGAAATAATAATTTTCCCTAATTTTTGGATGTATATGAAATAATATGAAACTGTCCTTCGATTTCATTTTTTTTTTCACTCACTAGATTTGCTGTCATACACTACAACATGATAACATCACAAGAAGTTCAATTTCCTAAGCGCATAAATGATCCATATTTCCTTGTTTTATTTTGTCTTGTAGCCGGAGCAGTGTATTATTGAGGGTGATGTGGGAGCAGATCCAGTTTCCTTGGTGCTCAATCTCCGTCACGCTAGAGCAATCATGAATGCTTCAGTCATGTCAAACATGGTGTGGTTGCTTGGCCAGTCTAATGGTTCATCTGTCATGCTGGATTGCCCTTTTGGTAAACTTGGTAACCTCAATTATTACTTTCCGAAGCCTGAAGCTTGAAGGTGATGAGAATGGTCAAGATAATGCGGTTTGATCACAAGTGTGAAATACTTTGAGTTGTCTGCTGTAAACAATGCAGCTTTTCATCATTTTGAGTTGTCTGTTGTACTTGGTTTGACATGAATATTCAATTGCAGGTAAAGTCTATAAACAATTAATGCAGCTTTACATAATGCAAATTGTTAGGTTTTACTTCTTTGCAAGTTTCATATGATTTCAATTGTTGACAACTGTTACTTACACAGAGACATACCCCAAAAAATAAAAATAAAAATATAAAAAGATTTTACCCGATCTCTTCCTTGTTCACCACAGCAGTCTCCATGAATTGGTATAGATCTGATTTGATCCAAGTGAAACCATGAGATAGAGATTAACTGAAAGACAACCGGCAGAAAGAGGAAGAAGAACGAGAGAGAGAGAGAGAGAGAGAGAGAGAAGAAAGGGACAAAATAAAAGAGAGAAGCGGCGGAGAGAAGTAGAGATGAGGGAGAAAGGAAGGAAAGAAGAAGTGGCTTTAGGGTTAAGTGTTGGTTGTTGGGCTTGGGTAAGGTTAGATGTTGGTAGTTGGGCTTTGGAAGTGAGAAAAATCATGGGATTAGTAGTTGGGCCACCAAAATATATTCATATTTTTAAAAAAAATTTGATTCTGGTTCGGTTCGGCCTGGTTCGGTTTTTAGAGATGTTAAATAGGAATTGGAATCGGTCAGAACCAGTCCGGTTCGGTTTTTGGTTAATTCAATTTTTTTAGGTTTTTGGTCAATTCGATTTTTTTCGGTCCGATTCGGCTCGATTTTCCTGTTTCCCGGTTTAAATGCTCACCCTTACTGAACAATAACACTTAACATGTTCTGTGGCGGTAACATAAGCCATGATTGTTCCAAAACGCGAATTGGAAGAACTCAGAACTTTTGGGTTTTGGATTTTGAGAACTTAATTGTTGGTAGCATACAACCTTAAATAAGAAATCACCCAAATTTTGACATCCACAACTCATGTGTGAAACAAGCATCAGAATTTCTAACATACAAGCTTAAATAAGAACTGGGGGTTTCTGACCAAAACAAGAACTGGGGGTGTCATATTGCAATTAAAAGAACTTTAGTGAGATGCATCTGAAGTTCTTAAAACTACAGGGGGGAAAGTGTAATATGAACAAAAATAAATAGAATGCGAATAGGCCCCACCTAACTCTGTATACGCCGCCAGTCAGCTGACTTGTAACGAATTTAACCGTCCACGTTTCTGAAAAACTTTCGCGCCAAGAAAGTAGTTAAAAACCTTTGTCTCTTCACAAAGCTTGAGCTCAATTTCCTGAAATTTCAAGCCATTCTTCAACCGTCTGAGCTCTGTTACTTTCTTCAAGAAACACAATTTCTTCAACCGTCTGAGCTCTGTTACTTTCTTCAAGAAACACAATTTCTTCAACCGTCTGAGCTCTGTTACTTTCTTCAAGAAACACAATCTCTCTCTCTCTCTCTCTCTCTCTCTCTTCGTTGACCACCATGCTGCTTGAACTTAGCCTAAACGAAGGTTCTGTTCTTCTAAGGCAGGCAGTGAAACCCTTCACTCAGATGGGCTTCGACTGGGGCGAGATCTACGCCACACCAGACGAAGTCACATTGACACCCTTCGATCCCACGTCCTTAACCCCAACCGTTACTTTGGCCCTGTGGATGAAATCTTCGATGTTCGAAACCTGTATCAACCATCAGAATGTCTGGCTTGCCTTCGACGTCCATAGCTTGTACCACAACAATCTCTGTCAAGTCAGGGATGATGATGATTTTGTCGGTCTCTATGTGGATGATGAAAATGATAATTTTGGTGGATTTGAGCTCAGCAATTGCAGTCAGTACATACCATCTTTGCTTCTGTAATTTTGATCGGCCTCTAATTATTTATTTCAACGTTTCAAGATTTCAAGATTCCATTACACTACTATTGCGACTCTGTTCTTTTTCAAGTTTATGGTCATTTAAAGTTCCAATAATTAATCTTGCTGCCATTGTTTGTATGTACATTTGTTGTAAAATGTGTCTAAATTTGATGAAACTGTCTACGTTTTTTGCTGCATTCTTATAGCATCATCTGTTATTGGGGCTCTGTTCTTTATCAAGTTCATGCATGGTCGTTTTAGCTTTGTCATTTGGTTTCAAAGATTAATCTTGTTACTGGGTTTATCAGTTTGTTGAAGATTTTGGTCAATCAGTCTGAATTATTTGGTTTCAAAAATTAATCTTGTTGCTGGGTCTATCAGTTTCTTGAGGATTTCTGTCAGTCTGTTTGCATCAGTGGTTTGTGTTTCCCAATATTGTTTTGTCGTAAAATCTGCTTAAATTTGATGAATGATCTGCACTTTCTTTCTAGTGTCTCCTCCTTATCTAATTTTTCTCGTCTCTTCTTGTTTACAATTTCAATAATCTAGGAACTCGGCGATTTATTGAAGGTGAAATCCCCTTGATTTCTGTGCACCTTCGTGAGCTGGCTGTACCTACACCTCAGTTCCAACATGAATATCATGTGATCGTCGGGATACATTCGAACGAGTTTAGGCGTCTTATCACTTATCTGGGCCATATCGGAGTGTTAGGTACTTTGTCAGTGTAATTGCTACAATGATCAAGTCAGAATATTGTGATGAGAATATGTCGAACATTTTCTCATTTCAGTGCTTGACAGTGATCATGCTTCCTAGTTCTTCATCATTTACTGGTGATTTTGCATCATGATCTTTGTTTGTGGTGTATGCATGCTGATACACATTCACAAGGTTCACAAGATTTAACACTGATACTTGATTTTCGTTTCCTCATTGAGTTGCTCACTAGGCTCGTATGTGTCATCGCAGTTGCTGCACGTGTAACAGATACTAAAGTTAAGTTCTCTGTAGGAGATGTAGAAGTCGTTTACAGTCAAGAGGTATTTCCCAACTTTTCGCGTGATTTATAGTTTAGAACAACTTGATGCTCAACCTTATCACAGCTTGCTAATCAATTTTCTGAAAAAAAAATGCTAATTAAGCAAATCCTGGTTCTGATTTCCATTGGAAAGCATCCATTCTTCTGTGCCATGAAATATATGTATAGCTGCAGTTAGGATCCAAAGAAAACCAATGCAGCCACTGTATAAGCTGCACAGTCTTTCGGTTTCCTTTTCTGTTCTGTTTTTTATCTTCGAGATTTGCTGTCACACGCTGCAACATGATAACATCACAAAAAGTTCAATTTCCTTATCACATAAATGATCATATTATTTTGTTATACATGCAGCTGGGGCAGTGTATTATCGGGGGTGATGTGGGGGAGGAAGATCCAGTTTTCTTGTTGTTCAATCTTGAACACACTCGCGCAATCAAGACTGCTGCAGAGCTGTCCCAGATGGTGTGGTTGCTGGGCCAGTCCAATGGTTTATCTGTCATGATGCTTTGCCCTCTTACTCGACTTGTTAACCTCATGTTTTGCTTTGGTCCTCCTCAAGCCTGAAGCCTGAAGGTGATGTGATGAGAGAAAGTGTTTCTGAGTTGTTAACTCAAATCAGATGTTAATGCATTGTCAGGAAAATGTCCAAAAACAAAAGATGATGTGAGTGTGTGAGATATTGTCAAGAATATTGACCTGTTCATCATAATTCTTTCTTTGTAAACAATTAATGCAGCTTTACATATAATGCAACTTGTTAGCTGTTGAATATCTACCTGCTTTTTCTGTAACTTATTATTACCATGTTCTGTGGTGGTATCATAAGCCATGTTTGTTCCAACACATAATTGAAAAATGCTAAAAGATACGGGTTAGGCCAGTTGATCACCACATTGCGTTTGCTTCTTTTCACCCAAGTTCGAATTTCCTTCCCGCCTATACATTAGAGAGTAGTTTAGAATGTTCCCCTTTAAAAAAATAATAATGATAATTATCAAGTATAATGTATGGACTAGCAGAAATCAAGTAAAGTTGGTCTCAATCTCTTTTTACCATATTTATTTTTTATTATTATTATTTTTTATTATTAAGCATTTTTCACCATTTGGGGTGTCATTTCAATTAAAAGAACTTCATTGACAATGCATCTGAAGTTCTTATAACTAGAGGGGCGGAAGTGTAATATGAACAAAATTAAAACAGAATACGAATGGGCCCCACCTCACCCAACTCTGTATACACCAGTCGGCTGAATTTCAACGCCCACAACCGTCCATTACCTTTTTACTTTCCCGCCAAGTAAATCCCTCTCTCTCTCTCTCTCTGGTTTTCTCTCTGTCCACCATGTTCCAGCTCCGCCTAGACCAAGGCGCGGTTCTTCTGAAGCAGGCGGTGACGCCCTTGGTCGAAATGGTCCGGTTTGCCGACATTCGCATCTCACCTGAGGATTTAACGCTGGTGTCCGCGAGCAACTATCCGAGGTTCCCACAGGTCTTCATTGCGCTGCGGATGCGAAGCTTGATGTTCGCTCATTTCCGGTGCAACGAGACCCGTTGGATTTGCATCAACCTCCGCCACTTGTTCTCCGCGTTGGCTCTCGCCCGCAGTGAAGATTCGATCGAGATCCATGGTGATGAAGGCGAGGATGTGGTTGGCTTCTTGTTCAACAATCCCAGTCAGTACAAAAACATCTTAGTTCACTAATTATTTCTTATTTCTTCAATTTCGTGGGTTTGATTTCAAGTTTCTGTTGTAAGTTTGATTTCAAGTATCCTGGAAATCAGTTTAATCGTTGTTAATTTGGCAATTTTTTCTTGATATAAACTCGAAAATTATTGAAGGGGATTTTTCATGCTTCAAGTTTATGATAGGTTTTAGTTGGTTCTTGGAAAAGGAATTCACTGAAAACTCAAAGTTTCCAGAATCTTTAAAGGTTTTCATCCCCATTTTCTTCAATTTGTGATCATTTTCATGACCTTCAAAAGGAATATTGAAGCTTTCTTGGGGGCACTCTTACCCATACTTGCTTTGTTGTTTGGTTACAGTTTTTTGAGAATCTTTGTCTGGATCTCTTTTTCTAATATGTTCTACTTGTGAATGGAATCATAGGAACTCACCGAGTCAGGTACTCTGAAATGGCATTGATTGGAGTTTACCCTGCTGATCAGATGCAGGCAGGTTTTGCAAATTTCAAATATCAAGTGATTGTTGGGATACCATCGGTGGAGTTTCAACGTCAGTTGATACGGTTGCGCTGTTTTGGAGAGACAGGTACTTGTCATTGTGTAATTACTTCTTGAAATTAAATGCAGTGCTACAATGTTCAACATGGAGATTCACTGATTCAAGTTCAGACCAAGCCCATTTCATTTTCTTAATTCTTATGTGAAGATGTTCATTTTCTTAGAATTTCACCTTTCGGTGGCTGACTTTGATGATACTTCTTAGTTCTTTACCCTTTAAGATTCATTGTATATAACTTAGCATTGCCACCATGGCCAACTTCAACGGAGGGAATTTTGGTGGAAATGGAATTTACAGGTCTGAGATGGACTATTTGTCTGCAACTTAGCATCATAAGTTGTAGTTTGAATCAGATTGTGATAATATTTTAATAGTGAGAACTTAGGGGGAAGGGAGGGAGAATAGCCCCGTTTCTTTCTAGTGTATCGCTGTTGTAGAAGTAGCACAGACAAGTCACACCATGACATTTACAGTTCATTTGGGTTATGGTTTTGAGAAGAAGTCCAGATGGATTATTGCTCTGACTTTGCATCACTATGATCTTGTTTATGTTACTGGCAGCCTGCATTTTTGCATGGAATTCCTAGCTTTTCCTCTTTTTACAGTCATCTATGACAGGTTTACTGTTGCTAAAACAAATGATCACACATGCCATTTTGTTTTATACTGTCCCTTTAAACTGGTTTTCTAAAGGCACAATTTATCCTGACTTATCCTATGCATGCACCACTGGTTCACATTAACACCTTCTATATGCTACTCATTGGTCTTCTATGTGTCATCTTAGTTTATGCACGCATAACCGATACTGAAGTTAGGCTCTCTGTAGCGAATGAGGAGGTTCTTCTGACAAACGAGGTAAAAGAACACTCTCTGTGATATAACAACTTGTATACAATGGTTATATAATGAATAAGCTGCGGCAGTTAAAATTAAAAGGAAACCAACACAACCAGTCCAGTTTTCTTCATTGGTGGACGTATAGGATTGTTTAAGTCCCTTAAGGGGAACCCACAGCCTGCACTATTTTTTCTGGCTAAGTAGAAAAGATGGAGGCACCATCCTTCGACTTCATAGTTTTACAGACAATTCCCTTGGCCACATACATGAATGATCAAATATATCCTTCCTTGGTTTAACTTAATGTGTTGCTGCAGAATTGCATTATTGGGGGTGATGTAAGTGAAGAAGATCCAGTTACTGCGGTGTTCAGCCTCCATTGCCTGAGCGCAATCTTGAAAGCGTCGCATCTGACAAGCAGGGTGTGGTTACTCCACTCCAATTCTTTGCTTCCATTTTGCATGCTGAATTTCCCTGTTGGTGCACTGGGTAACCTCATGTTTCACTTTCCCCCACCTGAAGATGGTGATGAAACTTGACAAGTAGTTGTACTACTAGTCTAAAGTAGCCAACTCCGTTATGACTTCTGTTCTCAAATCAGATTTTAATGATGATGTGAGAATTAATCGCAAGTGTAAAAATCACCAACAAAAAGGATGCTGTGAGAGATCTTGAGATGTACTAAGTTTGACATGGATATATAGTTGTGCTAAGTTTGACATGAATGTATAGACGGTTTCAATCATTAAAATACATTGTTGAATCATTCTAATAAAAGATGTGTGCACTTTTCAATTCTTTAACGTAGAAAAAAGTAAAAAATATATCTTGAGATGTACTAAGTTTGACATGGAGATATAGTTGTGCTAAGTTTGACATGAATATATAGACGGTTTTGATAATTAAAATACATTGTTGAATCATTCTAATAAAAGATGTGTGTACTTGTCATATCATTAACATAGAAAAAAGAAGATATTAATTGAGAAAATCTTTAACGCCTAGAGGCAGGTCAATGTGGTTGCTTGGAAGGTTGATTTGAAACTTTTCTTAGTAATAGTAGTTCACTTTTTAAATTTTTTATTTTTATTTAATCAAATATTTAAATACTAATTGTTCACTAAGTAAATATTAATTAAAACATAACTACCAAATAAAGTAATTAAGAAAGGGAAATCAAGATTATGCTATTCAACGGGTATAGCCGCGCGGCTATACTCTCGAACAGAAAGGTACAGCCGCACGGCTGTACTCTTAAAATATCCTCTCTAAAATTTTATTTTTTATTAATTAAATAATATCTTAGCCTTATTTAAATACTTTCATTAGTAGTGAATAATTAGTGATAGTTTGATTGAAATACATGAACTTGAGTCCCACATTAAAAAAGAAGAGAAAGTATCTACTCCTTAGTAGGCTTATGGTTGGGGTTCGAGGCTTGAGAAAGGTATTGGAACAATTTTGGAAGCTAAGGTTTTTGGTTCGAGACTTGGATTTACCCAAACTAATTTTGTGAAAATAAAAACTTAAAACAAAGTCCAAATTTTTTTTACTATTTATTAAGTAATTTATGAAATGAATATTTTGTAAATAACTTTGAAAACAAAATTAATCACCCGTTGAAAAAATAACTTTGTAAATATTGGTTTCTCAGTAATAGTAGTTCGTTTTTTTCCCTCTAACAATTCCGCCTCTTCTTCCTATCTTTTCTTTTTGACGACAGAAAAAGATATTAGCTTTGTTGTCTATCATTTTAGGAAGTGCCGTGCACGTGATCTTTGAAAGAGGAGAGTGGATGGAAATGGCAAATGGCAACAAACATACACCATATTTGATTTCCACGTGGACCCCACCTGATAAAACTCCAAAAACACCTCCCTCTCTCTCCTCCGTCATTGAAAATCTTTTTTTAATCCACGTATTGAACACGTGACCAATCAAACATGACCACATATTATTATCCATGTATTTGTAAAAGATAATTGTGCTCATCATTTTTATTGTTTTATTATGACATGATTCCCGGTAATTTTTTTATTCAGTATTTTCATTTCAAATCATGTTAAGGGTCCCAGTTTAATTTCGTACATGCTGTCATGATTTCAAAGTCAACTCATAAGAAATATCTATACACCAATCAACTTGAATAAAATTATTCTAACATGCAGACGTCTGTACAGGTAAATAAACAAACATGAAGAAAAATATGGAGGGGTGGTAGAAAATAGATTAAAAGTAATTTTTGGTTCAGGTAGTTTTAATTTAGTCAATTGTGTCCTTGTAGTTTCATAATTATAACAATTTAAGAACACGTCACGAATTCTGTCAATTTCTTTCACAGAGTTAGGGATATTTCTGTCCATTCATGACATTTATCTAATCCTTAGGTTGTCTTCAATCCAAGCCCTTGACAAATTTCCCCAAATCTAACAACATAAAACCAAGTTTTGGAAGAGCCCCAAATCTTACACCATGACCAAGTTTTCTACTTGGCTATGACATTTAAATGACATAAATAGACGAAAATACCCCTAACTTCGTGAAAAAAAAATTGACGGAATTCGTGACTTGTCCTTAAATTGATACAATTATGAAACTACAAGGGCACAATTGACCAAATTAAAACTATATGGATCAAAACTGACTTTTGTCCTAGAAAATACATGACGTCCGCATAAGAGAAAATTTTCACATAACATAACTCAACAATTCACTGGCATTACCCTAAAAAAATTCAGAATAATCTTTAAGGTTCCCTTTCCAGGGAGTGTATAGTACCTAATTAACCCCATTTTCTATTATTTGTTAGTGATTCTCAACGTTTCTTGGGGTTTATTCATTTTCAAGTTTTATATATGTGCTATAATAAATTAATATGACAATTTATGTTAATTATAACTTAATTTTCTGACATATATAAGATTGCTTTTATGTTTGGTTTCAAGGATCAATTAGGCTTATTTTAATTATTTTTTTATAGGATTGTCACAGCTGTTTCTCTGCATAAGTTTGTGTTTGGTAATATATTATTGTGTATCAGGGAGTGTAATTTCATAAATTATCTGCATCTCTTTTCCTAATATATATGTTCTAATCTTTCCCTTTGTTTATAATATCTCAGGAACTCAGCAAGTCAGGCACTCTGAAATGGCATTGATTGGAGTTCACCCTCGTCAGATGCAACCAGCTAGAGCAGCGTTCACAAATTGCAAGTACCAAGTGATTGTTGGAAGGGGAGTGCTAGCAACCTTCTCTCCAACCTTCTCTTTTGGACCTTTTCTCTTCTTCTTATGACAAGTGTCAATTTCTTTACACTTAAAACAATGTCATTAATACATCATACAAACTATTTTTTGTTTTCCAAGTTTACCCTTATTAAATGTATTATTATTATTTTAATAACAAGCTAATTTTTTTTTACAACTTTCTTACCACCTTGTTAAAAAAATAAAATAAGAAAATAAAAACTAATTTTTTTTTTTTTTGCAAAGAGAACGTGTGTTTTGTTAAAAACAAAATAAAGATGATAACAACATCTTGAAACAAACTTTATTTTTAAAGAAAAAAAAATGACGTTTTTTTAATTATATAAAATTATTATTTAATTTTTAATAATGTGCTAAAGAAGTGAAACAAAATTTGAATAAATTGAAGGAAATATAAAAGCTAATATATTTTAAAAGGATAAACTTGGAAAACAAAAACTAACTTGTGTGATGCATTAATGACATTGTTTTAAGTGTAAGGAAAATGACACTTGTCATGAGAAGAAGGGAGAAGGTCCAAAAGAGAAGGTTAGAGAGAAGGTTGCTAGCATTCCTCTTGTTGGAATGCCTTCGACAGAGTTTAGACGTCACGTTTATGCGTTTGGCCTATTTTGGGGCCACAGGTACTTGCCAATATTGTGTGATTGCTTCTTGAAAGTTGTTATCTTAATTACTAATTGAACTTCTCAGACCAAGCCCTTTCTATTTTCTTGATTCTGATGTGAAGATGTTTTGTAACTTTTGAAATATTTCTCCTGTCAGCGGCTGACTTTGATGATACTTCCTTACTTCTAGACCCTTGATCATTCATTATGTATAACTATAGCATTAAAACAGCATATGTCGTCCACTGGAAAAGGCTATAGCATTAAAATATTTTATTTTTATTTAATCAAATATTTAAATACTAATCGTTCACTGAGAAAATAGTAATTAAACCATAACTACTAAATAAAGTAATTAAGAAAGAAAACCAAGATTATGCTATTCAAATGGTATAGCCGGGCGGCTATACTTTTAAAAAAAATTCTATTTAAAGCGTATAGCCGTACGGCTATACGTTTAAAATTCTATTTATAGAATATCGCCGCGCGGCTCCTCTGCTAAAATATTCTATTTGAAGAGTAACGCCGCGCGGCTATTCTCTTGAAACAGGAAAGTACAGCCGAACGGCTATACTTTGAAAATATACTTTTTAAACTTTTCTTTTTAAAATATACTTTTTATTAATTAAATAATATCTTAGCCTTATTTAAATACTTTCATTAGCAGTGAATAATTAGTGTAAAATACTTTAATAAAAATTCTAGAAATTTAAGGGGCGTTTGGTATCTTATTCAAATAGGGAACTTAAAAACTTTGATTTTTCTTAAAAACAAGGAGTTCTTAAATCTATTTTTAAGATTCAAAAACTTGTTTGGTATGCAACTTGAAAACTGTTTTCAAATCTTAAAAATTTGAGAACTTGTGGGTTGTTTAAAAAAAAAAAACCTAAAAAAACAGATTTTTTTTGTTTTTAATAATTGGGGTGTTTTTTAGTTGTTCCTAAGTTTGAGTTTTTAAAAATAGTAGATCAAATAGGTTTTTATTTTTGTTTTGGACTCAAATTCTGTTTTGAGTTAAAAAAATTGGATTCAAGTTGAATACCAAACATGCCCTTAATTTTAGTTCCCAAATATTTTAGTATTCCAAAAATAAATTTCAGCCTCGAAACTTAAATCCAAGTCACAATGTGGTTCGATAATATCAGCTATTTGTTGGGATTTGATTGAAATACATGAATTTGAGTCCCACATTAGAAAATAAGAGAAAGTATCTACTCCTTAGTAGGCTTATGGTTAGGGTTCGAGGCTTGAGAAAGGTTTTGGAACAATTTTAGAAGCTAGGGTTTTGTTCGAGACTTGGATTTATCCAAACTAATTTTGTGAAAAGAAAAATTTTAAACAAAGTCCAAAAAAAAAAAACTATTTATTAAGTAATTTATGAAATGAGTAAAATATTTAAATATTCACTAAAGAAATAATAATTAAACATAATTATCAATTAAAGTAATTTAAAAAGCTAAGATATTACTTAATTACATATATTAAATTAAAAAAGCTGGCCAAAAAATAAAAGTAAAGAACCTAATTGATATGTTTCAAATTAAAAAAAGGCCAGAAAACCTCTCCTGACGAAATTTCATCAGCACAGGTTTATCCCGGCGAAATTTGCTGGATTAGACTTCCTCTTATGAAATTTCGTCAGCAGATGTAAATATCGTCGGGCAACAG